GACGCTCGACGCCACGGCGCTGATCATCGCCGACAAGCACACCAACCTCGACGACGTCGAGATGGTGTACCCGCTGCGCCGCAACTCGCTGGTAGTGGGGCTTTCGATGGCGCTTGGTGGCGGGCGCCCCCGGGGTCCCAGCCGCAAGAACCTGGCGTATCTGATGAGCCAGGTCGCCGATAACAACAGCGTAGCACCGCCGAGACCGCTGGCGTTGCTGTCGCCGCCGAAATTGCTGCTGCTGCGGCTGCTGTTGAACTTCTGCTCCTACGTCGACATCGTCCAGGAGAACGACGACATGCCCCAGTTCCGCACCCTGTACTCGCTGGGGTACATCCCCAAGCTGCCCCAGCTGCTCCACGGACCTACGAAAGCGAAACGGCCGCTGGTGCCGGGGCGGGCGCCCACCAATAACGCCGACTCCCTCAAGTTCATGATCCTGCCGGAACTGCTGGAAGGCGAGGGCGACGACGACGACTTGGTGGTGGCGTCGACCCTCGGCGCCCACCTACGCCATACCACCACCGAGCTCTCGCTGGCGGAGCACTAGTGACGTAGTTATAATACATTCAGAATTTAGGTCATTCAGTCACGTGGGGTACGGCACGTGAAATCAGTCACATGTACATAATCACGTGACATATCAATTTGCCAGTGTACCTCTTCGCGCGGGTGTCCCATCTCATCTCAAGCCTCCGTCCCTCACAAATCCCATGCTTCGAAGACAGGCCCGAGAGCGGCGGGAATACCTCTACCGCAAGTCGCTTGAGCTCCAGGAGACTACTCTTAGGGAAAAGCGTCAACAACTTAAAGCGGCCCTCGCTCTGGGTAAACCGCTCCTGAAAGAACTCGCCGAAGACGAACAATTACGCAAAGATTTCGTCTATGACGAGTCGGAACAAGTGCAAATTGATGACGAATACGCGGCGTTACTGGGGATCAACGACCCTAAGGTGATCATCACCACTTCTCGTGACCCGCTGACGAAATTACTCCAATTTGCCAAAGAGATGAGGTTGATGATCCCTAACTCAATTAAGCTTAACCGGGGTAATTACGTCATTCCCGACCTTGTCGCCACTTGTGGCCGGGTCCAAGTGAACGATTTAATCGTATTACACGAACACCGGGGGGTACCGACGCTGATTTCGTTATCTCATTTCCCTCACGGTCCCTCGGTCACTTTCACTCTCCACAACGTCAAATTGAGACACGATTTGCCCCAGCTTGGTAACATTCTGGAAGCTTACCCGCATTTGATTTTCGAAGGGTTTTCCACCACTTTGGGTAAGCGGGTGGTGCAAGTGCTTAAACACTTATTCCCTCCCCGCTCGCCTCAGGCTAAAGATGAAGGCACCAGAGTGATTCTGTTTATTAATAATGACGACTTTATCAGTGTCCGTCACCACGTCTACGTCCGCACTAAAGCCGGGGTGGAATTGCTGGAGATTGGCCCGCGATTCGAAATGCGGTTATACGAGATCCGCTTGGGGATGATGGACAACAAGGACGCCGACGTCGAGTGGCAGTTGAGACGTTTCATCCGCACGGCTAACCGCAAGAACTACCTTTAGCTGGGTCTAAGGGGATAGGGAGTGATAGATATACCATAATAAACAATAGGGAAGAAAAGAAAAACTTAGGAAAATAAGCTTTTAAGATCTGCGTTTACTCTATCATGTTAATTTCATAAATGTTAAAGCTGGAAAATTAAAAAAGTATTGACATCGACGTGATTCGAACACGCGCATCTTACGATAACAGAAACCCCAACCTCACAGTTGAGAAGCTTGAAAGCTTGAGTCTGCCGCCTTAGACCACTCGGCCATTGGCGGATTTAAAGTTGGGTTTATGGTACCAGGCCAGTAATCACAATAATGGATGTGACGGCGCCATCACTTTTTTGACCCCATGAACGTGTTCTTTCGCCTCAACTTACTATAGTACATTCATTTTACAAGCGATAAACTGAAATTTGACTGACCTGCTAGCACCCGCCTTGAGGCACATCGCTAGTTGTCAGGTGCCGAGAACCCTTACCCCTCTCTCCACAGCCACCCTGGCAACCAGGTGCGATACCCACAGATTAGCAACACACTAGACTGTACAGTGCATAGAACGGTAAACAGCTACTATTATCGGCCTTTGTTTGCAGAATACAATGGCCGTTTTTCATGCTGCCCTGCCCTCGCTGCAAAAAAGCGCGTCCGTAATTCCTCAGCGTGGCGCTCCGCGTCGTCTAAATTGTGACGGTCGCCGAGATCGCGTATGGCAAGATCCGTGCGACCACCAACACTGAGGACACAGATAATGCCACTCGGACACAGATAATGACACTCTTATACCAACGGCTCGGATTAGTAATGTTGATAGAATACTCACAAAATTCTACTATTAGGGTGGATCATACAAGCGTCAGTTTGATACTATGAGCCCTTGACCTCCGAGCCACGGAAGGGAGGGCCACTGTCTCGGACCCAGATTAAATTTAGCCTCACGGTTTGTCGTGATATTTTCCTGCACACAGTCAGACACTCGCGGTAATCGCGCAGAACAAACGAAAAAGACATCGACCACCCACAAACCCCATCACCCTCAACCCCCAAGCGACCGCCACCAACCCCCGCTGTTCTTCCTGATTTTATTGCCTTTGGCCGTGTCCCCTCCTCATATACGTTTGATACACATCACCCAGTGGACCAGGTAGAAAGGCGATGAGACGGTTGAAAGTGGGCATCCGCCCCCAGCTTATCATCCTCGTGATGAGTCTGTCGCTCCTCCTGTTGTTGATTTTGGCCGTGGTCACTGGTGTATATTTCTCCAATAACTTGCTGGATCTCCGGGCCGAGCGGCTCGAGGTGATCGCCGAGTTGAAACTGACCCAGATCGGCCAGCTCATGACGCTGACTTATTACCAGGTCAACTGGATCACCCAGCGAGATCTGGTGCTTTCGGCATTGGCAAACTACCGTGTGGGCAACAGTCTGCTTGACTCGCCGTTCATGAGCGGCGCCAACTTGACCATCGACCAATTGGTGCTGTCGTCGGATAACTTCGCCGCCGCCCGCTTATACAACTTGGACATGGAAGTGCTTGTTGAGCTGGAAAACAAGATCACCAATTTGTCCCCCTGGGCGCGAGACTACTTGTACCCGCTACGATATAACGCCGAGGTGCCTCCCCCGTTATACCTGTCGGGCATCGCGCTGACGGGGTACTTCACCGGACCCGTGGCCAACGATACCCTGGAGGATTTGCTGCCAAATCTGCCCTACTTCATGTGCATTACCCTCCCCATCTACGCCAACACACTGATCATCTTGACCCTGATGTTTTTGGCGGGGTATATCTCGGTGATTTTCTCAACCCAGCTGATCCAGTTGGCGATGTCTGACGCCAAGGCGAATAGTCTGCAAAAGTCTACTTATTCCGATAACCAAGTATACTTAGTCCAGCCGATCTATGGCGATACCACGGACTTAATACCCTATACCGTCCCCCCGACCAACCACGACCATTCCGAGGTCGTCGCCTACAAGTACGTGCTTCCCACGGGGAATATGCTGCAATCAACTTCGGAGTTATACAACATCAACTCGTCGCAAGCAGTCAAGAAAGCGATATTGGAACCGGGCCAGGGGCTGTCACGGAAAATTGCCCTGGATAACGGTAAAGTGGCCACGGGGTTCTCCAAGATCCACATCGATTCCGTCACTACGTGGACGCTATTAGTGGAACAACCACGCTCCCAGTTCCTCCAACCGGTGAATAACTTCAAGAAGATCATTATCGGTGTCGTTATCGGTATTGCCGCATTTATGTGTATCGTCACCTTCCCCCTCGCCGTATACTTTGTGAAACCAATCACTCAGCTTAAAGATGCCACCGTACTCATCACTAATCTGAGGAAACCGAAACACCGAGCCGATGGTACCGGAACTACCCCAGATAACCCGAACGGCGGTAAGTCCATTTCCAATGTCTACTGGCCGTTACGACGACGCACCCCGCATTCGCATTCCCACCACTATGACGAGAAACACGAGCTGGCGCTGGCGCTGGCCAACCCTCGCAATCTGGTGCTGCTGACCCCGTCGCTGGCAAGATCGTCGGCGTATCTGCTGGGGATTAGAATGCCCGAACAAGTGCCCCGATCCAAAAAGTTCTTTAAGGATGAGATCACCGAGTTGACGGAAGCATTCAATATCATGACCGCCGAACTTGCCCGACAATATAACCATTTGGAGGACCGGGTTAAACAACGGACTAAGGAATTAGAAGCACTGAAAGTGGAAGCTGAAGCGGCCAACGAGGCTAAGACGGTGTTTATTGCCAACATTTCACACGAATTGCGTACTCCTTTGAACGGTATCTTAGGGATGACGGCGATTGCCATGGACGAACCCGATCAGCTGAGAATCCAGGAATCACTCAAATTGATCCATAGATCGGGTGAGCTTTTGCTCCATATTCTCACTGAGCTTTTAACCTACTCCAAAAACACGTTGAAACGGCTGAAATTGGAACGCGCTAACTTCCAAATCTTGGAAGTGGTGGGCCAAACCAAACTGATTTTCGATAAACTTGCTCGTGATCTGAGAGTGCATTTTAGTGTATTGGTGAAACCGGCAATCATGCGCAAATTGATCCTCTTTGGGGACCTGAACCGGATCATTCAGATCGTGATGAATCTTGTGCTGAATTCGCTTAAGTTTACTCCCGTTGATGGTCTGGTTGACGTCCAATTCAAATTGCTTGGAGAGTACGACTACGAACGGCTGATGGCAGTCAATTGTGAAAAGGTATACGTGAAGAACCTGAGAAAACTGTTACGGGCAAAAGCGTTACCGCCCGTTCCCGGTCAACTGAAGCTTAAAACGCTCCACGATGGTCGTCGCCGAGGACTGGATAATACTAAGTCGCTGAACTCATCATCGTCGACGACTACCGACTTGGACCATAGCGATAATATATCCGTGGTTACGTTGCCGACTCTGGAATACGAACAGGCTCTTTTCCGTAACCAGTTCCAGGCGAAACCATTACCTACTTTACCGCAACCTAACCCGGATAACTCCGGGCTGGGCTCACTGGATACCATGCTTGCTGGACTGGCCCTGGTTAAGTCAATGCTGACTCTGGCGACGCCGCCACCGTTACCTCCTAAACCTCAACAAATGAACCAGCAACAGATCGTCAACACTCTGTACGACCTGCAACTGGTGCTGCTGGTAGCTACTCATCATGAAGTGACCAAGAATGATAAGGTTTATAAGACACGGACGTTGGCCAATCCAACCACGTGGGTGATTCAAATCTCGGTGACTGATACTGGTCCCGGGATTGAGCCAGCATTACAGGAGAAGGTGTTTGAGCCGTTTATCCAGGGTGATCAAACATTGCTGAGAAGCTATGGTGGTACTGGTTTAGGGCTTTCCATCTGTCGCCAATTGGCCACCATGATGCATGGTACTCTTACTCTTCTGCTGACTATTGGTAAGGGGCTGACGTTTACGTTTACCGTACCTTTGAAACAGACTGGCGAAGTGATTGTTGACGAACAGGATATGGAAGAGTACTGTAACGATGAGTTTAACCCTGACGCTAAGGTGAACCGGAAAGTGGCATTCGAGGAGCCAGGTACTCCCAACTCGGCAATCGAAGTGATTAACGATGAAGTGGTACCGCAAACTCCTAATAAGACCGGAGACCCTACTAAATCGGAATCGCCTCGTCGTGACCAGGAACCCAGTCCTGTCAGTTCACAACAGGGGACACCACCCAAGAAACCGCTGTTTACTCGAGAGAATCTGGTACTCCTTTCAAAACCTGATCTTATCACCAAGGGGCTGACGGGGACCGCGGCACTGATGGTGCTGAAGGAGACCCTGGAAGAACCCGACGTGATGCTGAGTCTTACGCATATTCGCATCTTGGTCGCCGAAGATAACATGGTGAACCAGGAAGTGATCAAACGGATGTTGAAGCTCGAAGGGTTCACCAACGTTAAAATGGCTAAAGACGGTAGCGAAGCGGTGGAGATGGTCAGGGAGTCTTACGAGACGATGCAATTGTACGATCTTATCTTTATGGACGTGCAAATGCCCAAGATCGATGGTCTTTTAGCGACGAAGATGATCCGCACCAATTTGGGTTTCACGCGTCCGATTATCGCTCTCACTGCGTTTGCTGATGAACTGAACGTTAAAGAGTGTCTCGGTGCCGGGATGAGTGGTTTCTTAGCTAAGCCAATCAGACGGTCCAACATTAAGAAGGTGATTACACAGTTTGCCCCTCAATTATTGGGTGAAGTGTTGGTGCTGCCGTCGCTGGAAGCACGTGGGTTTAGGTTTGGTGACCTGAGCCGCAACACTCCCTCAGGCACGCCGATCTCTGAAGTACCACCAGGTACAGCCGATAACGCTAGCGGTGGCATTGGTAACGGTGTTGGCACTGTCAGTGCTAATGTCAGTGCTCATGCTAGTGAGACAGCGATTAGCCCTGAAGGTGGTAAACCCAAGGCTAACGATTGTGTCATTGCTGAAGAGACGAAGGAGGAAACGAATGCCGCAAAAGTGGAAGAGGAGAGAACTGCGGCGACGTTAGCCACGCCAAAGGAGCCAACTGAGCAGCCGGCTCCCGGAGCTGATAGTTCAAACACCAAAGAGCCATCGTCAATTCCACTGATTGAAGTGAATAAAGCTGAGGTGGTGGAGGAGAAGAAGGAAGTTGAAGAAGAGAAGAATGAAGCGAAGCAGTCGACCAATGCAAAGTCGAAGGAGGGGAACGATGTTGTGGAATCTTATGACAAGTAATGATTAATAGAGCATAGCATAATAATACATTTTCATTAAAGAAAGTCGTGAGGACAAAGGTGCGAGAGCATTGACGGTACAAATCATGATATCCCATCACTGTCATCACTGTCACCTCTATAACTTTGTCAATGACACCTCTTCTTCAACATCGCTCTCTGACTGTGCTTCAGCCAAGGTACAAAGCGATAAAATGTGGAAAAATTGTGCTAGCTACGGGGAATCGTATCAATTATACCTCAGTTAAGTTGAGGGGAGAATGTGATTTCAAATTCTGGCATTCGCCATTGTATTGACATTTGTGGCTGGTATGCCAGTCTTGTGTCACTTGATTGTGGCAGGTGAAAATCTGTCATCAAAGGAATAGTAATGGCACTAAACCCGAATGGAAAATTAGTCAAATGGGATCAGTATAGTCAAGATGTAGAGGCCTTAGTAATCGTATTTCTCCTGATCCACCGATATTGGGCTACTGACCGTACGATCTGAGTAGGGGTAGTAAGGCCATTAATAATGGAGGCGGCGAATAAGGCGGGCTATCCTACCAATTAGTCACATTCCCAGAAGTGTAATGGCTGTAGTAATGGTCGTAGCAAGCGTTTATGGTCTGATTTTAGTAGGTTTTGTGTCATTTTGGGCTGTCTTTTTTAGCGAGAAGCTTAAAACTTATACTTCGAATACGGTAGACTAATGCAATTTGTAATGAGATCAATCAGTAATTGGACTAGTAATGCATTTACTAACATTAGACGACTGTAGTTTGTAATGAGCTCCGTCTGTAATGGGAATAGTAATACATTTACTAACCGTATTCCCTCCTAGCGGTGGTTTCACAAAGTTTTGTGAAATCTCTCTCGCCAAACATTGAAGTATCGTAAGAGTAATAGCCTAAACAGATCAAATTACTCCCATTTGTCACGAGAGTCGTTTGTAAGCGTTGTAGTAAGACGTTTACTAAATCGATTAGTAGTTGTCTCAATGGCATTAGCTTCAGTGGTCTTTGTGTAGCTACAATCTCAGACCATGTTAATGGGAAATGAAAATCAAGCTGAAGACAATGAAACTAGTTAATTTGTAATAGAATTTTGAAATCAACGATAATACGTTTACTAAACGAACTCGTTTGTAGTGACGAGTAATGACAATTAGTCACCGGTACAACCCCTTGCACTCCACATCATCTAATAATTCTACCTCCCTTAGAATTGCACAATTGTGTTCTCATTTCCTAGCCCAATACTGGTCCATCCCAGTCTCCCTCTCCCTCTCCCTCTCCCTCTCCTTCTCTCCCTCTCCCTCTCCTTCTCTCCCTCTCCCGTACCACTCTCCCTCTCCCATCGCCCGCTTGAATTCCTATATTTATTTGAATATCAAATTCGTTCCCTTCCTCTATAATCCCCCCAACCACCTTGAACATAATCCCTATTTCTCAAATCACTTATTACCAAAGGCCTTGTCGAAATCAGTGAACACAAACCGGTAGCGCACGTCACCTTTATCACATCTGGTAAGCGCTTCATGGCAGCCTTCCTCGGAAATCGGCACTTCTTCAATCCACGGCTTAATCCCGTTTTCCGCCACCAATTTAAGCATACGGTTAGCCTCATCCTTCAGCCCTAACAACAGGGCCCCAAACAGCGACCCACTCCGCAAGAAAGTCAGCGGCGACACCTCAAACTTATCGCCACTAGGCGGTAAACCCACCGACACGATTTTACCGTGTACGGCCAAAGTACTGACGTAATCCTCAAGGGCAAGACCGTCGACGCCAGAAGCACAGTTAAGGATAAAGTCAAAGGTATCGCTCCGTGCTTGAGGCCATCCTTCCTCTTCTCCAGTGGCCACAAAGTGGTCAGCACCTAACTGGAATGCTTGATCCTTTTTAGCCAGCAGACGAGAGAACACAGTGACTTCATGGCCCATATGGTGAGCAAACATCACTGCGAGATGCCCTAAACCACCAAGGCCAATAATCCCCACTTGCTTGCGGCGTTCGTAACCCACGTTTCTCAGTAAGGGAGAGTACACGGTGAGACCAGCACACATTAAAGGAGCGGCGTGTTTCAGCTCGATGGCATCGGGGATGGCAAACACAAACTGTTGCAGGGCCACACAGTGGGAGGCGTAGCCACCTTGAGTGACGTAGCCATCAGCGTAAGGGTCCACCGTGTTATACGTACCGACTTTCTTATGGCAATATTGTTCGTTATCGTGGTGGCAACGGCGACACTCGCCACAGGCGAAAGCAGCGGCACCGATGCCCACTCTCTGCCCTATTTCAAACTCCGATACTTCGCCACCAATGGCGACGACACGACCAATGATTTCGTGGCCAACAACGAGGTCTTTGCGGCGTAACGGCAGAGCCCAGGCGCCCTTGATGACGTGGAGATCCAGCCCGCAAATGCCACAGGCGTCGACGGCGACACAGACGTCGGTGGGGTTGATGGTCCGGCGCTGGTACTCGACGAGTTTCGGGTGGTTCCATTGTTCGTGGGACAGGACGCCAAAGCCTTTAAATTTATCGGGAGCAGCCATGGCAACCGTGGGGAAGTATGGAAAGCCGTAGCTACGGCATCATGGTTGATGAACTGGAGTGAGATTAGGTAATCATGACGTCACAGTTGAAAGTTCGGAGATATATGGCCACAAACTCAAAGTACGGCAAGCAAGATCTAAACTGACGATCAATGTCTAGAATCACAAATTGAAAGGGACGTTGGTAGCAAAGCTTCAATCGCAAATTTGAAAAAATGTAGTGCGTGTCAACTAAGTTGCTAACAATATACCAGCAGCTAGGCTCACTATCAATCAGATAGATGCAGTCTATCAATATCTGTGGCTAAGCGAGTGTTAGAGATATCGTCGTCATTTTGGTATAGTTATGACTTCCGTGTTTGTTTGATGGAGATTTTTCAAGCCAATTTGGTGAAAGTAAATTCTAGACGAACTTTTTGAAGGAAATCGTGAATGAATGAAGACAGGCACTTATCAATGTCAACCTGATTCAGATAATTGATGACCAGAACAGTACACTGACTTTGATGCCGCTGAATAATTAGTTTAGTGGTGCCTACGTCAGGCTAATTTAAAATCATGTAGTACATTACGGTATATGGGGTATTAGGCGACCACGAACGGGTTTTTAACCACGAGGGGACGCTTGCGGGTATTGGCACCAACACTATTGCTGCGAGGGCGAGGCGTGGGCAGCCCCGGCTCCTCAGTACGCGACCGTACTTGGTATTGGTGACGTTTATCTCTCGCTGGAGTCAAGTAACTAGGCGCATGCGCCTGGCGGTGCAAACTACCAAAATCGTTATCGTAGTGTTTCGGCACGTACACCTGAGTCAATTGCACCAGGCGGATTTTACCGTCGACAGCAGGCGCGTGTAAACACCCAGGAAACTCTTCCGATGAGAGAACCTGTAACGGCACCCCGCGTCTCAGCTGGCGTCTAATCAGTACAAGCACGTTCTCCTGGTCGGCATCGATAGTGGGTGGGCGCGGCAGTACAGGATCTTCGAAGATTTTAAAGCCAGGCAGGGCCACCGTTCTCGCCTGTTTGCGCGGACGAAGCGGCAGCAGATTACCGTTATCTCTCACTCTTTTAGTGGGTGATTTAGTGGGCAGCACCAGCAGCATTTTAAGTGGCAGCAGCTTTGTCGGCAGCAGTTTAGTCGGTGACAGTTTTGTGGGCAGCAGCTTCGTGGGCGACGGCGACCCCCAGTTGGTTTGCTTTGGCGATAATATCCCTCGTTCCATAGTCAGCTGGTTGTATCAGTGGAGTAAGGGTGGTGGGGGTAGGGTTGTAGTCTGGGTAAAGTTAGGGGCTTGGGTTGGGAGTTTGTGCGACCGCAGACTAGCAAAATGAGTAGCCACCAAGGCAACAATATACCAAGGAAAAAGACCTGAATCAAACTGTTTTGTTTTGAAATGAAACTGTAAATGAAACGGAATTTATTTAACTATATAAATAATGAGTTTGGCGGTGACTACTGGCTTTGTGGAAGGTATACTGGCTCAATGCTTTCACGCGTTGGAACGCGTCTCCGCTACGCGTCAAGCAACATCGCCGCCATGGTGAAAACTGAAATTAGCTGAAATGCGACTAGTATAGTGACTGCAAGGCTAACCTGTCGCCTTCAAATGCTTGTCAGTCGCTTGCCTAATCTTCTGAGGGCCGGTGGCGAGGGCCACACTTTTTGCACCCGCCAAACTTGCCGTGCTGCTTCTTATGGGCATACTTCAAGTGCATCTGGAGGCCAATGATATGGTCAAACCGCTTGCCACACTCGTTGCAGGTGTGGGACGCCGGCGCTGGCGGTGCTCGTCGGAGTAGCCGTCGGAGCCGAGCCGGGAGCACCTGGGGGCGTGACCAGCACCACCACAGGGTGAGCAACGCCAAGAGCGCCACGAGGACCACCCAACGTGCCCGGGCCTTCATGGATCGTTGTAGATAATAGCCAGAGAAGTTGGTGAGGTGATGCCCTGGTGAAAGTGTGGCGCGGGGTCTTACTCACCCTTCTCGAAATGCTTTGCGTGCACAGTGTGGGCCCCCGCGCTTCGGTTGTCGACTGTCCTGCACCCAAGGCCAGCTTCGACCTGACGTAGCCGGGAAGCGACACATAAGCGGAATGTCGACCCTCCGACTAATCTCTCCCATCAAATTTCACCGTAACTAGAGAAACACGGAAAATGATGGGCAATAAGACAATTGCGAGACACTTGACAACAACGAAATGGACTTTATTCTATTGATTTAATAGTATTACTTCTGCTATACTCCATTCCCTGCTCTTGCCTATGCCACGGCATCGAGTAAAATTCCCCGACGCGTTTTATTTGTTTTACTTAGGGTTGCGGTGTTGACGTACGGTCTAAAAAACTTTTCGTGGTCGCCCCCGTTGGACTCTGGCATGTACCGCAGGTGCTCGCAAATCTGCAGGCCCGCGATCACGCTCGTTCCTGAACAAAAGTTCAGATCAAATAAACGAGAAAACGTGAGGGTTGGCATCATATATGGAAGCTAAGATTAACTCAATTTTACCGTGGTCATCGAAATCTCGCGATATTGGTTGCATTTCGCTTGCCGGGGCTGCTCATCGATCTCATGGTGTGCCTGGTGTACAATCGCACATCATATGTAAGTGCCAGCCTTATTTTGCATTCCCTAAGCTCGTGAC